CTGTTTAGTTTTACATGTTTTTGAACTTTTAAAAAGTAGAATCATAGTATTTATATTCTTCTATGACTTGATTTAAGAAAAAATTCAACATTTCTAAGATCATTACTGGTGTTTTATATAGTTTTAGTCATTCATCTTCATTGCTCTGTGATATTCCATGCAGGAATGAAACACAGTTTATTTATACATTTTTGTATTGATGGACATTTTACATTGTAAGTTTTTTGCTGTTACAAACAGTGCTGCTATAAGCATTCTTGTAAACATCTTTCTGAATTTCTTTAGGGTGTAACTAGGAGTTGAATGGATACCTTTGTCCTTGGGTATGTTCATGTTTGGCTTTACCAGGTAATGCTTGTGTGTTTCCAGAAGTGGTTGTACCAATTTACAGTTCTAATAGTATGAGTGCTTTGTTGCTGCATATTCTTGCCAATACTTGATATTGTTAGACGTATTTATATATCTTCACTGATAGTTAAGTATACTTAATGTTGTCATCGTAGTTTTTAACTAGTAGGGTTTTTTTCTTTTTTCTTTTTCTTTTTCTCCTGTATGAAGTTGAACATCTTTCATAGTTTATTTACCATTCTAATTTCCTTTTCTTGATGACTTCCTAAGTTCTCTTTTGCCAAGTCATTTTTATTTTGAGATGTTTATCTTTTTCTTACTGACGTCTGTTTTTTATATATACTGGATGTTATTCCTTTGCCAGTTTTTATGTACTGCAGCTATATTCTTTGTGTTTGTAGCTCTCATTTCTTTTTCTGGTGTCTTTTGATCATTAGGAATGCTTGCTTTGGTGTGATCAAATTTGCCAGTCTTTTTCTTTATGGTTAGCCTTACTTTGTGTCTTATTTAAAAGTCTAGCACTATTACAAGGTCATAAAGATATTTTCCTATTATATTTTTAAAGCTTTATAGTTTGAGCATTGACTTCATTTTAAACCAGCCTGGGAGTGATTTTTTAGTATAATGTCAGAGGCCTAAGTTTAATGTAATAAAACAGAACAAAAACAACAATTTTTATTCTGGTACCATTCACGGAAATGTCCTTCCTTTCCCTACTGTTCTATAATGCCTAGTCTATGTTTTAAATTTAATTACCTTGTATTTGTGTGGGTGTGTTTATGGTTGAATGCCATTAGTCAGTTTCCCTATTTCTGCCTCAATATCATGTTATCTTAATTACTGTGGCTTTGTAATAATTCTTACCTGCTCAGCAGGCCCTCTTACATTCTACTGGAGAGTGTCTTTGTCATTCTTGTCTTCTGATTTAATATATATGTTTTGGAATCAGATTCAGGTTTTTAAGTTTCTCTTTCTATCTCTTGGGATTTTGAGTAGAATTACCTTGATCCTTTGGAACATTTTAGAGAAATTGAGTCATTCAGTCTATAATCACTGCATTTTTCCATTTACTGAACTCTTCTTTAATTTTTTTCAGTAAAGTTTTGTATTTTCTCCATAGAAGTCTTGCATTTTTTGTTTCAGTTATTCCTAGGCACTGCGTGTTTTTTGATGGTATTGTATGTAGTATCTTTTAAAAATTTTATCTTCCATCTGACAGTTGGAAAAGTTTGGAATTGCAACAGTTTTGCGTGCTGGCTCTGTCTTGTTATATCCGTTAATTTTAACACATTTGTGTAAATTGTATTAGATTTTCCACATGGAAAATCTTGAGGTCTGTGAATGACAGTTTTATTTCTTTCAAATTCTTTTATCTCTTATTTATTTTTCTTGTTTTTCTTGTACTGATGACAGCTGATACGGCACTGAATAGGAAAATCATTATCAGTTAACCTGTCTTGTTTCTGATCTTAAAAGGAAGAAATTGTTTAAACATTTTGTGAATATGTTTGCAAAAGGTGTTTTTTGGATAGTCTTAGCTAGAGAAAGTTCTTTTTTTTTTTTTAATTTGCCAAGAGTTTTTTTTCTTTTTATTCAAGAATTGATGTTCAGTTTTATCAGATGCTTTTTCTGCATCTATTGAAGTGACCTATGTTTTCTCCCTCAATCTGTTAATGTAGAGAATTACATCAATCTGTTTTCTAATAATAAATCAACCTGACATTACTAGAATAAACCCATTTAGGTCATGATGTATTAATTTTTAAAAATATTTTTGTATCTATGCTTTTTGGTGAGATTGGCCTGCAGTGTTCATTTCTCATACAGTCCTTGTCTGATTTTGTGTCAATGTTAGGCTCAGAAAATGAATTGAGGCTGTTAATTCTTTATCTGTGCTTTGGAAGAGTTGTGTAAGATTGGAACGATCTGTTTCTTGAATCACTGGACACGCTTGTGTTAAAGCCATCAGGGCTTGATTTATTTTTGGTGGAGAGATTTAAAATTATTCTTTATCCTCTTTATGATAATAGGATTATTAAAGTTTTTCTCTTTCTCCTTGGGACCGTTTTATTATTATTATTATTATTACTATATTTATTTATTTTTAAGGAATTTTGCCACTTCATCTTAGATTTTTAAACTTACTGGCTTATTATGTTCATCATATTAACTTTTTATCTGTTAGATTTCTGCAACATCTATGACTAGGTCTCCCTTTGGATTATTCATTGGTAGTGTGTAGAAATACAGCAGATTTTTGAGGGTTAGTTTTGTATCTTGAACTTTGGTAGACTTGTTTATTAGCTTTAACAGTTTTTTTATGGATTCTTTAGACTTTTTTGGATATATGATCAATCTGTCACAGATGTCATCTGTGAATACAAATAGTTTTACTTCTTTCCAATTTGAATGCCTGTTTGGGATTTTTAAAAAATCCTTTTATTTTTTTATTTTTTATTTTTTAAAGATTTTATTTATTTACTTGAGAGAGAGAATGAGATAGAGAGAGCATGAGAGGGGGGAGGGTCAGAGGGAGAGGCAGACTCCCTGCCGAGCAGGGAGCCTGATGCAGGACTCGATCCCGGGACTCCAGGATCATGACCTGAGCCGAAGGCAGTCGCTTAACCAACTGAGCCACCCGGGCGCCCCTAAAAAATCCTTTTAATTGTTGATTCTTTTACCTAACTGCTGTGTGCTTAGAGAATATAGTCTTTATGAAACCAATGCTTTGAAATTTGCTAATCATTCTCTTGATTTTCTTTATAATTTTATTTTCATCACATATATGTGTATCATTAAATAATATTTACTTTTGCATGTTTTTGAAATTTTTATTAGTTGAATGATTACATGTCATTTTGATACTTGATTTTCTCCCCCTGCTATAGACTGAGTTGTGTCTCCCTGTCACCCCCAAATTCATATGTTGAAACCCTAACCTTACCCAGTTTGACGGTATTTGGTGCTGGGGCTTTGGAAGATACTTAGGTGTAGGTGAAGTCCTAAGGGTGGGGCCCTCATGGTACTAGTGCCCTTGTAAGAAGAGACAGCAGACAACTTGTTCTGTTCTCTCTCCCCACCATGTGAGGACACTATGAGAAGAAACTGTCTTCAAGCCAGGAACAGAGCACTCGCCAGAAACCAACTGTGCTGGCACTTTGTTTTTTATTTAAAATTTTTTTTTTTAATGCTGGCACTTTGATCTTGAATCTCTAGCTTCCAGAATCTTGAAAACAAATTTCTGTTAGTTAAGCCACCTAGTCTGTGGTATTTTGTTATGGTAGCCCGAGCTAAGATACCTTCTTTTTTTCATATTAAGTTTTTGAGACTCCTAAAAAAAAAGTTTTTGCGACTCCTTCATATTTATGGATGTAATTTACTTTAATTTTTATTTGTTATAGGATTCCATTCTGTGAATATACCATAATTTATCAATTCTGTGATTGGTGGACCTTTGGGCAAGTTTAGCTTTTTTTGTTGTTACAATGCCTTGAGGTACATTCTTCTACACGTCTCTTGGTACACAGTTTATTATGTATATGTAATTGCCAATATTCTGCTGTTTTTAATCTTCAAAAACAGTGGTTTTATATGGCTTAGTATAGTATCTAGGAATGGAGATGCTGGATTATAGAACTGTTTCCTCGAGTGATGATACCATTTACCCTCCCACTTGGTGGGATGAGTTTCTTTGGCTCCACATCTTTGTCCACATGTGATATTGTCAGACTTTTACACTTTGCTAATGTGATGCATGTGGAGTTATTTCACTGTTACTGTTACTTGAATTGGTAGTTCACCAGCGAGGTTTAACATCTTTTCATTTTTTTAGGAGGGGAGGGACAGCTGGAGAGGGAGAGAGAGAATCTGAAGCAGGCTCCATGCTTGGCATGGAGCCTGAGGTGGGGCTCGATCTCACGACCCTGAGATCATGACCTGAGCTGAAACCAAGACTCAGACACTTAACTGACTGAGCCACCCAGGCCCCTCTTGTGTTTCATTTGTTTATGGACCATCATATTTCCTTTCCTGTGAAATTCCTATTTGTGATTGTGCCCAGTTTTCTATTGCAGTGTTTGAGAAGCTGACTCTTTTTTACTGGGATGTGAACTGCTTGGTGAATTTGATACTTATTGAGCAAACTTTTGGTTTTAGGCTATGCTTGTATGGCTAATATGGATGGACTCACCTCAGTTTGTATTTAAACTTAATTGGAAGCTCTAAACTTCGGTATTTTCCTTCCAATAAAATATGGATTAGCTACATGAATCATTTATAACTTTACCTCTCTGTTTCAGTTTACTCATGTGTAAAACGATGGCCTTTGACTAGGTAATATCTAGTGTCCCTTTTACTAGTGTCTTTAATTCATCTGTCTAGTATTTTTCTTCTTGGTTTTTGAAATTTAGAAATGTTAGTTTTATTGTAGTAGCAAACTATAAAATGCTGGTCTTGTTTTGTTTTTGTTTTTTGTTTTTACATCGAAAAACGATGGGTTTTGTTTCTGTGAGATGTGATATGTTAGCTCTCCAAGGACCTCTCTCATTGATGAATTTCCCTGACAGATATTACTGCCTTTTACTTTTAAAATTCTTAAAATGCTGTTAAACCTAGAAATTTAATCCTAACATATATAAATTATTCTTTCTCAGAGTGAAGATACACAACAGCAAATCATCAGGGAGACATTCCATTTGGTATCTAAGAGAGATGAAAATGTTTGTAATTTCCTAGAAGGAGGATTGTAAGTAAAGCATTTCATGGACATTCTAATCTTTGACTATGTGATTAAAATATATACTGTTTAATTGGTTATGGTAAAAATTGCCTAATTTTGATGAATTAGATTAGGAGATTAATTATCACATATGTTAGCTATAAATCTAAACTTAAAGAATTTTTTTTAAGATATGCAGTCTTTTTTTTTTCTTAAAAAATGTTACAGAAGCATTTTATGCAAAGGTTGTATATTCATATGGCAAAAATTCAAACATTTCAGAGACGTGTAAAATTAATTATAAATTAAGTCTCCCTCTCCTGACTTTAGTCTTTCTCACTTTCTTGTGTTTCCTTCTAGAAAATTAATTTTTCATTGACTAACATATAAAAGTATAACCTTAAAAAATTTTACTTACGGGATCACACTAGGTATGCTGGTCTGCATGTTGCTAATTTTCACTTAATATTTTTAAAAGTTTTGCATATAAACACATTTAGAGCTACCTCATTCTTTTTAATGACTAGAGAGTATTCCTTAGGCTAAATGGACCTGTTCATAAAAATTTATATTATATTCTTTATTTTATTATTATAAATGAGACTGAAATCTGCTTTTCAAATAAATATCTGTGTGCATGTATATATATTTATATATAGGAATATCTGTATATAGGTAGTATTCAGCTAATAGAGTTTCTATTTTTAAAATGAATAAATATAAATTAGTTATAATTAGCTTGCCAACTATTTTAAATAAATACTTTTAAATTAGTGGGTTCCATGAAAACATTTTGCTCTCAAATAGTTTTATTAATGTTTTTGCTTGTGTTTATGTAATCAATTTCTAAATATTTCTTCATTGACAAGTCAAAAACTAAACTTTGGCTGAGCCCCGTTATAAAAAATTACATATGAAGCAGAGAGACCTATACTTTTCTGTGTTTTAATGGGTATGATGTATATTATGAAAAATAGTTTGGATAATAGAAAATTCATTCTTACTTGACCATAAATTACTGTTTATCACATAGAAAGTTTACATGCATTTCTTAAAGGGTTGTATCATGCTGCAGTTCACTTTGCAAATACACACTTACAATTTATAAATTTTGCTATTAACTCCAGAACTCCCAATTTAAGAGTTGAGACAGATGTACCTGCTTTGTGTTTTGTATTTTAATTGTACTTTATTTCTGTCACACTTCTGCAGGAGTTGAGTTGTTTTGCCATTACCACTTTTCTTCATCTTAGCATTTTAACCTCTCGTAGGGAACTTGTCACCAAGCACAGTGCATCATATGTGGTCATGCAAGAACCTGGCTCTTCTAAGCAGGGCATTGTGTGAACTAGAAATTAGGGCTTAAATTTGTGATCATTCTTTTCCAGGCTTACAAAAAGTAGAAGGCAAACATTGCATCAGAGATGAGGCTACACATCTGATTCAGTCCTAGTTTTGTGACTAACAAGCTGTTTTTTTTGGTCAGGTCACTTCTTGTACCTCAGTTTTCCCCCTTGGAATATGAAGTATTTAAAGTAAGAGGAGTTCTAAAATTCTGTGGTTTTATATGGTATATTGCGTTCCATACAAGAGTTTGAATCAGTATTTATCAGTATTGCACTATAGTTTGAAGATAAAATTACATTTTAAAAGGCAAAGTATGTACTTGTCATGTTATGTGTTAAATCTTTGCTTTCTTTTAATGGCATTGATAGTCATTTTGAAACTAATAGTTTTCAATAGTTTGGTCTTCTTTTACAGTAGAGCCGAACAAAAGTTTAAGATAATCACTAAATTGCTGATTCAGGATGAACTGAATCCTGCTGTCAGTGCTCTTTTTTGTGGCTTTCCAGGAACAATTGGAATCATAGTCTATAAAAATCATCTCAAAGATTCTTTAAATTACACATACATATTTTTAATTGAATATCTTTTCTAGAAATATATCTAACATAGTAGTAATTTTTAATTCTTGTCAAAAATCATTTCCACTTTTGCTATAAGAAGACATGAAAGAAGTGGGTACTTACAGAAGTTGTTTGTCTGAACCTGTAAATTCAGTGTTAGTTTTACAGAGTTAAGAAATAGGTGCTATTTTCCTGTCTTGTTTGAGTCTTCATTTAACTTTGATGATATTTGGCCTTGATTCTTATTTTATATTAGTGTTAAAAGTCTTTTGAGAAGGTAAACTAATTATTGTAAATGTAACTGTGAAATAGCTAAACTAGAAAAATATAAGATATTTGGAATGAGTACTAAATTATTTTTAAAATGCTGGCATTCCAGTCAGTGTAAATAAAAATATTTGATGAAAGAATTGAGTATTTCTTATCTCAGTTTTTTGCATTTATATTTCAAAATAAAATGTATTTTTGGAGATTTTGATGGTAAATTTCTCTAAAACTTAAGAAATGTCATTCTTTTTTTTTTTTTCCTCCCTAGTTGGTAGTCAGTCTTTTTTTTTTTTTTTTAGATTTTATTTATTTATTTGAGACAGAGAGAATGAGAGAGACAGAGAGCACATGAGAGGGGGGAGGGTCAGAGGGAGAAGCAGGCTCCCTGCCGAGCAGG